CTTCCGAGGAGTGGCTGGTGGGTTTGAACCGCCAGCCGTCTGGTTAGCAGGCAAGTGTCTTAGCCACTATGCTACCAGAGCTCCCAATTAGTGGAGGGTTAATATGTTCCTCCCATTGGATGTGGCAGGGAAAAAAATCTAAGGAGAAGAAGAGATGGAAAGATAGAAAAAAAACAGATGACAAGAAATAGGGGAAAAGAAAAAAGAATGTGAAAGAGAAAACAAAAGTGGGCAGGTAGAAAGGACGAAAGTTTGGCAAAAATTAAAGGAAATGAGGGCAAAAGGGAAGGAAAAATAAGGTATTTGAGGAGGGGTCCCTCCAGTTATGTATATAGCCAGTGGCCCTGGGAACTGGCTGCTGTAGCAGAATCTGCTCAATCACTGGAGCACCTGCATAAGAGAAAGGGGGTCAGTGCAAGGGACTCCCTGAAGAGAAAGACAGAGGCTGTTTTCTGTGCTTTGTGTGAGATAATTCAGATAAATCAGTCAGCAATGCAGGTATGGAAAGGACAGTCATGGCCCCTGGCTCCATCTACGGCAGTACGTGGATGATGGCACCCAGCTGTCAATCAAAGTCCTACAGTTCAATCCTGCCAACTGCCCCAAAGACAAAGGATTGCCTTCCTCCATGTGGATCCACAGGTTGTGACATCCCAGGTCCTAGTTCTACTCTGTGCTGAAATGGGTTGCTAAGAGTTGGACCTGAGCCCATTGTCATATGTCCAGTTTGGGATTCTGTTTATTTGGATAGGTTTTCTTCCCTTTTCCCCACTCCCTTCTGGGCTCTGTGGCAGCTTAAGCATAGGGGTTCTGCTCCATTTCCCAATATGATCTTCATCCCCACCTGCGGCCCCACCTCATCTTAAAAAATCCCCAGTGTGATTATTCTGAGTCTTTAAGGCCTGTAGGTTCTGTGATAGGATTTTCTTTTCCCCTCCTCCTCCTCAACATTCTTTGTATTTCTAATGACCTCTTCTGGCTCCACTGGCTGGGCTGGTTTCTTTGTTTTTTAGTCGCTCAGCCTGTTCCCTTTTGCTGCCTTCACTGGGTCTAATAATTTATCTTCTCATTAGCTGTTTGTAACTCCAGGATCATTATTTGCATCTGCTTTATCCAGTTTCTCAAAATCTGTTGATATAGGGACTATGCGTGTGGTCTGTTAGTTCAATGCCATCTTAAATCCAATCCGAAAGACTTTATTTCTAAATTTCTCCTAGTTCTATATAATTTTTCAAATAGACTTTAGAACAATTTTAGATTTACAGAAAAATTGAAACAAAGTACATAGAATTGTCATATATCCCACATCCGGTTTCCCCTGATTAACATCTTATATTAACATGACACATTGTTACAATCAATATACCAATATTGATGTTATTAACTAAACCAAAACCAAACCAGTTGCCATTGTGCTGATTTCCACTCATAGTGACCTTATGTGTTTCAGAGTAGAACTGTGCTCCATAGTGTTTTCAATGATTGATTTTTCAGAAGTAGATCACCAGGCTTTTTTCTGATGTCTCTCTGGGTACACTTGAACTGCCAGCAGTACCCAAACACTTACTTGTTTGTGCCACCTAGAGACCTCATTATTAACTAAAGTCCACAGTTTATTCATTTCCTTACATTTTACTTAATGTCTTTTTCTGTTTCAGGATCTCATCCAGAATACCACATTACATCTACTTGTCATGTCTCTCTATAAACTTCTCTTGCTGTAGAAAAGTTCCTCAGACTTTCCTTCCTTTAGATACCCTTGACGGTTTGAGGAGTACTAGTTAAGTGTTTCACAGGAATTTTGTAGTGAAATGTGTCTGATGTTTTTCTCATGGTTAGACTGGGGTTAGGGGTTTTGAGAAGGAAGACCAAGTCAATGCAATCTTCTAAGAGGATTTGGACACATAGGGTTAAAAAAAAAATCCAGACTACATCAAATTATTGCGATGGACTTAACTCATGTATCATTTTTAATACTAGATCGATTCTGATGATTAGAGGCAGAAAAGTTAGTCTCAAGGAATGGAATATGATGATTTAAAAAAAATTGGTTTTTAAAAAAATAACTAAGAGGTAGATAATATTATAAAGAAGCAAAAACAATAGTTATATTCCTAAGCATGTTCTTTATGAATTAAAATGACTATGACATAAAGTCAGACAAAATACATAAACAAAATGAAACCTATAATAGCTAGAACTCAACAGACTGCCTTGTATTCCCAGAAGATGCAAGCTTATTGTCTTTGACAAGGTGCAGTCTTACTACTTCTATCACTCTCTATTAGTGGAAAATATTTGAGTTTTCCTTCTCTGACAGGTTTCTGCCTTACACACGTTCCAGCTTTCACAGGTTTTACTGTAATACACAGCTAGTTCAATTCCACACATCTTCAGAGTACTTGGAATTTACATAAATACACTACTCAAGTATATCTCTCTTTTCAAAGCACATGATCATTTTTTTTTTTGCCTATCAAATAAACAATAAATAAGCATTGTGCTGGGTTTTCTATCCTGTGGGTCACAAATATTGCCTTTTAGAGCAGTGGTTCTCAAAGTTTAGTGTGCATCAGAATCGACTGAAAGGAATGTTCAAATACAGTCTGCTGGGTCCTAACTCCAACAGTTTCTGATTCAGTAGATATGGGGTGGGGCCTGAGAATTTCCATTTATGACTCGATGGCACATAACAGCAACAAGTCCGTAGGTGATACTGATGTTGATGCTGCTGGTGTGGGAACCAACTATGAAAACCAGTTTTATAGTCAACAAGGTACATTTATTAAGTATGTACTAATGTATTTACATGTATTTTTAAATAATGTATTTTACATACATTACCTTATTTAAAGAGTTACAGAATCCTACCAACTAAGTATGTTTATTCCTTTTTAAATAAGGAGTCTGGGTCTCAGAGGAATTGAGCAACTCACCCGAGGAAACTATGGGATTAGGTAGAAAAACTACAATTCAAATCTCCCTCTGATTCTAACACCCATGTTTTTCTAGCACACTATGCTGCTGCTTGATACAGAAGTGAGACTTTGAAAAGAGAGACTATACCTGAAGATGTGGACAGTGCTTACTTCTGGTTGTTGTTAGTGTTATTATGTGCTGTCGAGTCGTAGCGACCCCTCCTTGGGTTTCTAAGGCAGTATCACTACGGAAGTAGACTGCCCCATCTTCCTTCCCAGGAGTGGCTGGTGGGTTTGAACTTCTGGTTAGTAGTGTGTTAATGAATAGACTGATTCTCATACAAAACTGGGCAAAGGCTCAGGGTCAGGGAGAGGATTCACTTTTCTCTGAATTTCTGAAACAATCAAGGGTAAAGTGGATTTACTGTATAATTAACAAAGAGAATGAACATGTGTTTAATATGATACAGATTATTTCTTAATTATTATTTTATTATTCATTACAGAAAAATACACATTTAAACAAAATAGTCCATAAAATAATAATCCCATTAAAATTTCAGTTTAAAGTTCCATCACACTGTTCTGTCTGCCAGTGTACACTACATTGCTAATCAATTGGTACTTACTCTAGTATGGAAGTAACACCATGATGGCCATCAATAAAACGTTGTGACAATTATTAAAACACATACTTCCTTTCGCAAAACAAATTAGAAGCAATGATATTAACAAACAAAATAGGTGATTTAAATTTTAAGAAAAGTGGTACATTTTACAGTAAACAGACTGTCAAAAAAATGAAGTTGCTAATAATATAAATTTCTGCCACTCTTTATTATATTGTAAAGGCAGTCCCTGGATTACAAATGAGTTACATTCCTAAAGTCTGTCTTTTGTACTTAAGTCAGAACTGTTAGGTACGGTTTGTATCTAACACCAGTTAGTCAAATGTTTGTCTTAGTATACAGTATATACCTTTTTATGTATAAAAAACTTTAAAGAAGCACTACACATCTTTAATATAATAATACATTAATGATAATGTTTTGATGCATGTCACAAAGTAGTGCCTGTTATTATGAATGGTATGTACCTCAAATTTTTAATATAACAGGCTTTCCAGGGAGGGGTTGGGTCATGACTACAGGTTGTATGCAAACTGGATGTTCGTAACCCAAGGACTACCTGTATATAAAACAGGACACAGAAATACAACGTTATTGGACTGTAGATTTAACATAGTTATGAGGTCTAAGCCTCAGAATGACAACAAACAAACAAACCGACTCACTCTATATCTCTATCAAAACAAATATTTTATGTAAGAAAGATTCCCTTTTAAATCTCTATATACATATTTTCATTTAATACTGTTAAATTAAACACATAATGTTAAATTTATTTAAATAAGAATTAAATAAACTGCCCCAGATGCTGATTTTCGTATCACAAAACACAAGTATTTTAAATCACAATTTCCTTGTGGTACATTGAATACATTGGTTCCTTAGGCAACATTAACAAGCATATTTTTAAGAATATATTTCCATCTATAGCTCAGGTATAGGTAAAGCTTTATTAAATGGTAAACACTTTTAACAGTGCAGAGGTAAAAGTTTCCAAAAAAAAAAAAAATACATTCAGAAGATCTGCTGTTCAAATAATATTTTTTCAAAACCAGGTGGAGGAGTATGATAAAATTCACTGAACTGGCAATCCAAAATTGCGCTGTCATCAACTAGAGAAAAGAAAAAGAGATAAATTAGAAGCAAAGACCTGAACTTTAAGGAGCAGATAATTTAAAATAAACTATGTTTCCATAATACCATAATACTAGCAGGTAAAAGCAATACACACATCTGCTTTCCAGGATGCAAAACACAATCCTATTTGGTAAAATAAACTCCAAAAACCAAACTCACTGCCATCGAGTCGATTCTGACTCATAGCAACCCCTATTCCAAGGCAGTGAATCTTTACAGAAGTAGATTGCCCCATCGTTTTCCCACAGAGCAGTTTGTGGGTTTGAAGTGCCAACCTTCCAGTTAGTGGTCAGATGCTTTAAGCACTGTGCCACCAGAGCTCCTCATTGGGTAAAAGAGTTGCAACAAAAAAGCAAACTCTATCAAAAATAGTAGAAGGATATACATCAAAATATTATTAATAACTATCTTTAGTGTGTCAAAGAGAAAAATTAGTGATAGCTTACTTTGATTTGGGGATTTTCTTACCCACAAAACCAAATAGTCAGCATAAAGAAATTCTTAAACAAAATTAATCCTACCAGCAGCTTTTCTTTCACCCAAAATTGCTAATTTTTCTTTCCTGTCGGAAGACGGGTTTACCAGTGGGTGGAGGACCAAAGACCACTTGAGTTTTGGCAAGAGGAGGAGGGCAGGGCTCAATCAATCATGTTAAGATTAGCCAATAGTTGTTCTTCTCTATTTCTCCCTCCTCCCTTCTTTATAAGCCTCATTGTACCTAGCTTGAGTCACTTGCTTTTGCTGGAATCAGAACAGTTTTTCTATATTTGTATAGAATAACTGCTCAAAATAAACCTCATGTTTTAATTTCTTTGGGTTTTGATTCATTTTTAACATGTGAATATGAATAATTTAAATTCTCCTCTTACTTGCCTTGCCATCTTTTCCACAATTAAGATGTATCACTTTCAAAGAAATGTTTTATTTTGAAAAAACTGTCGATTCACCAAAGTTGCAAAAATAGTAGTCTCATACACCCTTCATGCAGCTTCCCCCAACAGTAACATCTTCTATAGTGATCATACAATAACAAAACCAAGAAACTGACATTGACGTTTGTATAGTCCATTATACAAACCACGGGCTTTATTCAGATTTCACCAGCTTTTATGTATACTCATTTGTACGTACATGCATGTTCTAGGCAATTTTATCCCCTGCCTAGAAGAGATTTGGACAGCCACCAGTACAACCAAGACACAACTATTCTATTTCCACCAAGGAAATCCTTTATGGTTGTTGTTGTTGTTGTTATGTGCCATCGAGTCGGCCCTGACTCATAGCGACCCCTCCTTGGGTTGTACCTACCCCATATTCCCCACCTGTCCCTATCGGCTGGCAACTTCTAATTTGTTCTCCATTTTTATAACTCTGTTATTTCAAGAGTATTATATAAATGGAAACAAATAGTACATAACCTTTTGAGACTAGCTTTGTTCACTCAACATAATTGCCCTTGAGATCCATTCAAGATGTTGTTAGTTCCTTTTTATTAATGAGCAGTATTCCACCGAATGGATGTATCACAGTTTATTTAACCATTTGCCCACTGAAACACATTTGAATTATTTCCAGTTTGGAGCTATTACAACAAAACTGCTATGAACAATCACGTACAGGTTTATATGTGAAAAGAAAATTTCAATCCTCTGGAATAAATGCCGAAGAGTGTGACTGTTGGGTCATATACTATGTTTAATTTTATAAGAAACACAAACTATTTTTCAAAGTGGCTGTCCATTTTACATTCCCACCAGTAATGTATTAGTAATGATCTGAGTTTATGTTCTACAGCATTTAATATTATCACTATTTTTCATTTTAACTCAATGCCACCAAGTTGATTCCAACTCATTGGGTTTCCAAGACTGTAAATCTTTACAGGAATAGACTGCCCCATCTTTCTTCTGCAGAGCAGGTGGTGGGTTTGAACTGCTGACCTTCTTGATTAGCAGCCAAATGCCTTATCGACTACACCACCAGAGTTCCTTCCTGAAAGGTGTGTGTTGTTGTTGTTATGTGCCATCAAGTCAGACCCTACTCATAGTGACCCCTCCCTGGGTTTCTGAGGCAGTATCACTATGGAAGTAGATTGCCCAACCTTCCTTCCGAGGAGTGGCTGGTGGGTTTGAACCACCAGCCTTCTGATTAGCAGTCAAGTGCCTAAGGCACTATGCTACCAGAGCTCCTGAAAGGTATGTAGTGATTGTTTATTGTGGCTTTAATTTCTATTTCCCCAATGGCTAATGCTGTTGAATGTCTTTTCATGTATTTATTTGATATCTGTACATCCTTTGCATTTAAGTGTCTGTTCATGTCTTTTGCCTATTTTCTAATTGGATTGGATTTTTTTAAACTGGTGAGTTTTAAGAGTTCTTTATATATTTTAGCTTTAATTCCTTTGTAGATACGTGGTTTGAAAATTATTATTTCCCAGCGTGTTGTTCATCCTCTTAAAAGAGTCTTCACCACAGCAGGTTTTTACTTTTAATAAGTTCAATTTATTAATTTTTGTTAATGGATTGTGCTTTTGGTGATATGTCTAAAAACCCTTTCCTAGCTTTGGATTCTAAAGATTTTCTCTTTTTTAAAAGTTTCATAGTCTTACATTTTACATGTAAGTCTATGATCCATCTTGAATTAACTTTTGTATAAAGCCTAAAGTTTAGTCAAGGTTTATTATTATTATTATTATTATTATTGGTCCAGGGATGTGAAACTGGTTCACCATTTGCTGAAAAGACTATTCTTCCTCCATTAAAATCCTTTGCATCTTTGCTGAAAACCAATTAGGCCTATGAGTATGTCTATTTTCTAGGTCTCTATTCTGTCCCATTGATCTGTGTGTTTCTCCCTCTGCCAATACCACAAAGTATTGATTACTGTAACTCTACAATAAGTCTTAAAATTGGGTAAAGTGATTCTTCCCACTTTTTCACTCTTTTTCAAAGTTGTATTGGCTACTCTAGGTTATGCCTTACAATAAAACTTTAGAAAAAGCTTTGCAAAATTTGAAATGGTAAAATTAATTGACCTTAGTTTTATATTCTATCCCCTCCTCTAATAAATCCTGATAAAGGTACTACATAAGCTGAAATGGCCATTTTACCCAAAATGTTCTCTTCCTTGTTCTCTACCAGATATACCCCAAATCCACCTCATTTAAGCTAGAGTGGTCCAGTAAGGAATTTTCAGATGAGATGGCACTGTAGTCATATCATGGATAACTTATTTTATATAATTTTTGAATATTGCAAAGACTTGAGAGGTATGAAGTATATTTGAAAAAAACAAAATAGTGATTAGTGTGATGTGGTTAGAACAGGGGAGTTTGGTTAAAACAGGAGTTTGTGTGTTATACCAGAGTTTGAAATTTATCCTAAAGTGACAGAAAACCAATAAGGATTTTTAAATAAGAGAGTGCAAGAACCTATTTGTGTTTTGGGAAAGCTGACTGTAGCTAATGTACAGGTAATGGCCTAGAAATGTTTGAGCTTGGAATTAGAAAACAATTACAAGGCTAACAAAACAGTTCAGCTGATCCCCAAAGATCTAACCTAGGGTATAGAGTAAGAATGGATACCAGTGGCCATAATTGAGAAATATTTAAAAGAAATAATTAATAGGACTTGGAAATTTGGGTAGTGAGGTAGACAAAAAGGAGAATGACTAAGAAGTTTCCAGCATAAAGCAATGTCTTTCAGCAAGAGGTACTGGGACAATAGGATATCCATATGTAAAAAAAAAAAAAAAATGGTGCTTATTTTATACTCATGTCAAACATTAACTCAAAATGGAACCCAGACCTAATGTAAAAACCCCAAACTATAAAACTCCTGAAGAAAAATCTTTATGACTATGAGTGTCTTAGTTCTCTAGTTGGGTGACTTTAATAAGCAGAAATTTATTTTCTCTCCGTTTAGGAGGCTAGAAGCCCGATGTCAGGGTGCCAGATCTAGGAAGGCTTTCTCTCTTAGCTCTGGAGGGAGGTCCTTGTCTCTTCTGAGCTTCTGCTCTTGTTTGGGTGATATTCATGTGGCTTGACATCTCTCTTCCCCCATCTCTGTTTGGTGGCTTGCTTGTTTAATCTCTTTTATATTTCAAAAGAGACTGACTCAAGACACACCCAATACACTTACTGCCACATCTTTCTCCCCCGGAGCAGCTGGGAGAGTTAGAACTGCTGACCTTTCAGTTAGCAGTTGACAGCTTAACTAGTGCACCACCAGGACTCCTTTAACAGAACACAGACAATCCATTCCCAAGTGGGATTATAACCACAGGCACAGAGGTTAGGATTTACAACACATATATTTGGGGAACACAATTCAATCCATACCAGTGAGTTAGACAAAGATTCCTTAGATATGACACCAAAAGCAAGATCTATAAAAGGAATAAAAACAATAAACTGCACTTCATCAAAATTAAGAACATCTGCTCTTTGAAAGACACTGTTAAGAAAATAAGAAGACAAGTCACAGAGAGGGAAACAAATATTTGCAAATCACTTATCTGACTTGCAAAAGGACTAGTATCCAGAATATGTAAAGATATCTCAAAAGTTAGTAATAAGCAAAGAAATAATTTAAAAATGGGCAAAAAAATCTCAATAGACATTTCACCAAAGAAAACATAAAACCAGCTGCCATGGAGTTGACTTTGACTCATGGCAACCCCATGTGTATTACAGTAGGACTGCTCTCCATAGAGCTGTCAATGGCTGATTTGTGGAAGTAGATCATTGTTGTTGTTGTTGCTGTTAAGTGTCG